CCGTAACATTCTGGTTAATACCCCCCTCTCCTCCACCCGCTTTGTGGGGTGCACTGCGGGTCCTGACAGCCTACTGCACCAAGCATGGGTTGGTTCAATGCGGGGGGTGGGGGGAGGAGGGGTGAGGTGAGTATCAGGCTCATTCAATAGAAGCAGAATGCGGTGGATCAGCGTTATGGCGCAATACGTAACGTACAAGGTGCTGCGAGTCAATCAAAAGTGACGCAACAGCCTCACCCTCATCACAAGCATCCGATATAAACAGACGATGCCGTGTAGACCGTATACCAAACACAAAAAGATGCGTTACCTTATGTAACCGCAATTGCTGGCCATTACAGCCCCCTTTTTTTTCTCGCTTGTTGCGCATGTCACACTTCATTCACAACACTCTACTCTGGCTAGGGCAACTATCATGTCTGTATTGCAGCAACGAGCCAAATAAAGCGCGGGTGGTAGTGGTTTAATATCTGTCTTAAAGATGAACGAGATGGGTTTGAAGATCGCGTCAGCCGTGCAGGGTCTATTTTTACACCACCCACCACGCCCACTTAAGTCACAGCTAGCCACTCAAAATAAAACCGCTGCAAAAGTGAACAAGCCAAACAGTTTAATTATACAAACATACACAAGTAGATTGATTTAATTAATGCCCCCGGAGAATACAACCAGATACCAGGAAGCTAATCACCTGTTTCCACAACAGGGTGTGCGCGCTGCGCAGTTGACATATGCTACAACAGTAACAAAGCTACTTGAGTCCCATTGATTATCGGCAGATTACTGGGATTTGAACGTGGCTAAAGGCAGACATAACCTTTAAAAGTTTGTTTTAAACACAAGCGCAGCGAAAGATATGTTAGTTAGCTATCGAGATTACGTTGGATAAGGGCCCGAATGAGTAGGGGCAGTCCTTTGTTCTCGATATATTTATTTTTATACCCATTAAACGTTAACAATGTCGATAACCTAGCGGTTTCCACACATTGCAGACAATGCAAGCAAATCATTTGAATGCTAACTTGTGTTAGCTTTTACTCACCATTGTCCCGGTTCTTTTCTGGTTTTGCCGAGCGACAGAATATGAAACTGGGTTTTTAATGTGACCTAACGCGGCACTTGGGCGCTATGAGCGACCGGGAAACAAAATGTTCTGAAATTCAATTAAAAACGAATCGCCGAAGACTTAAGAGGGAACATGTGCTAACGTTGCAGTAGCAAAGAACCGGAAACTCAGTCTTGCTCCGCGGTTGCAGCAGCACCACTCACAAACCTCACAACCTATCCATCCGCGTGACTCCGCGGTTGTATTCGCAGTGTTTCAAAAACACGTAATATTAAAAAAGGTTAAGATTTTATTTTGCCTCTGTCTCTTTAAAATATTAAAAAATAAAAAATAATAATAATAAACAAATAAAATTAAATCATGGTAAGCGATAGATTTAAATCATGCTCTCAGCGAGCATAGAAACCCCGGTAAACTCCATTAACGCTTTGAAATAGCTTAATTACCTTTATAAGTAATCTATAACAACAACAGCAGCAGCAACAATAATAATAATAATAAAATACGAAAGTACATGAAGTAACAAGATCTAACAGCAGAGGGGGCATTGCACTAATATTTTGTGGACGGAACAATACCAATCATGAGTGAATTTGATCACACATTCTGTTAAACACAGACAAACAATTGAGAACTATTATTAATTAATTGCAACAGCTTCAAAAGTAACATGACAGGGTAGGGCAGTCAGCATACGTGGGAAAGATGAACGAGTAATAATTTCTCGGAAAAGCCATTGTTTAGAAAATACTGTATATTTCTCTCTGGATAGTTGGTATTCACGCAAAAATCATCTGAAAGTCTATTTTATCCTGTCGTCTAAAGGAATCTAGGCAACGGCGTGTTAATATTTCCCAAATGGCAAATAAATGTGTATT